TAATGTACATATTATAATACCTATTGTGTATAGTACAATGGATTATTTGTAGAAACTGATCACAGATGATTATTTTCCTTATTAGATTTCACGAGTCAAAAGGAAACTTATAACTGTCRTTTTATTGTATTTTTTCATCCCTTATTTTATGACATCGTGTTTATGTTAAAATTCAAGATGTATTCACTCGATAAATTGTATGATATTTTTTGAGTTTAGAGTGTCTAAAAGCGATGAACGAAATTTAAGAAGACAGTTGATGGGTAAGTAATTTATTATGCTCGGCGATCTTTGTTGTTGTATGTGGTTTATAGGTGACTGGTGGATACATATTATATAGAACCTGAAAATTGATTATTTCTTTTCTTTATATAAGTACCGTATAATGCGTATCATAATAATATCATCCATGCCGTCACTATTTAGAAACAAATTTAGATTATGAATTAAAGTTAAGTTAATGCATGTGCTCTCTKTGATGATATACAGTTTGTGAAAAAATAAGAATGATAATATATATAAAAATAGTTACACAATGTATAATATAGTTAATCGTTGATACAATCTTAATACAAATCGGAATTTAAATGTTTGTCTAAGATTTTCAACGGCCACACACCAAAACGAAGTATAATGATACATAAATAGGTACCTAAAGAATTGGTTTTATTTATAATTTATTTTTTTTGTTCATAATATACATATACGTATGATGATGCGTACATGACGTTTTCAGTTATTTGGTTTGAGGATTTAAAATATATAAAATAGTATTCTTTCACATGGATTTCAAACAATTACCACGATTATTGATAGGYAATCGATTAAGTTTGTTTTTMACTTACTATACCTAGAGTGATCTCGTACTTTTTTCTGACACGAAAATTCCTAACACTAAAAGGTCAAATCAAAACCAATAATTATTTTTAAGTTTCAATTCATTGTTAGCTGATATAAGCTGTATATATATGAAATGAATAATATGAGAAAAAAAGATATAGKTACAAGGATTCTGCCAGATTGATTAAAAAATTAGTAAATATATACGATTAGTCATATAACTTGTAAATTAGTTTTAGCTACATTAAATCTTATACTAATATCTAATATCGTTTATTTTCTATATGTTTTTTTTT